TTTCGACCATGCAACACATACGCGAACAATAATAACATTTCTGTGTAAATACATGCATGATTTATTGTAAATTTATTCGGTATTTTTCGCTCACTTTATTGGATCGGTCATTTTTAATTCGAACCGTAATCCAAATTTATGCACAATAGGCTTAAAGCTCATTAAATTTCGAGCATTAAAAAAAAAACATTGAAATGGATTAAGAATTAGAGCGTCGGTCGAATTATGTTCACAAAGAGAGTTTTTTCGCCCATTATGCGTCGTGCGGAATTATTGCGAATGTCATACGCCATGCATTCGTCATTTGGCAATAATCATAATAATTCGTGACAATTTCACGACAATTTTAATTGTCACAAAATTGGAACAATTGTCGCGAATTCATTGTCACGAAGTTGTCATGAATTATCACGATATTATTATCGAATGACGAATGCACGATATGCATCTACAACAATTATAGGCGTAATTGTTGCAAATGCTTATCGTGTATTCGTCATTCGATAATAATAACATTTGACAATGATATCATAACAAAAAATTAAGTATTTGTTAAATATTTACGTTTGTTAATGTTAAAATGAATCATTCTGTGTATACTTCTTTTTCCACAAAGATACATAACTTAATTGGATTTTCTGTTTTATTTTTAACACTTTAAGCGATTCTCTCTCTATAGAGCAAATTCAAAAGATCTGTTCTTCTTCCATTCCAAGTTGCCCCAAATTATAAACTACAATTAGTGCAATAAGTCAGAGTGAAACAGATACAATTTGTCTCACTTTATTGTACTAGTTCAAAACTACATCAGAATTCTTCGAAAAAGAACAAAGAGACTAAAGTTACATTTTTATGCGAAAAAATATAGATATATATGAACAGTGTGATTCATTTTTAATCTTAAAAGACGAATATTTAAAAAATATACAATTTTATCAAAAACATTTCACATGAAAATTGTATAGTATAAAGGTTGATGTATATTACATACATCAACATAATAGCGATTTTTATTAAAAAAATTTTTTTGGTAAAATTGCATATTTTTGAAATGTTTGTCTGTAGACTCAAGAAAGGTTGCGCGTCTATTAGATAATATTTATTATTCATTAGCGCTCTCTGTAACAATGCAACGGTTATTAGAATAAAAACTTAAAAGTTTCCGTTAATTACCGAATTGCGAACATATTCGACAATCTGTCACACCTGATTCTTTTTATACTTCGATTTACACCTAATTTTTTAATCACAATAAAAGCATGAGACTTCATTTTCTTTTTCACTTTTTCAATCACTGCACCACGAGATTTATGTAAATTCTTCTTCTTTTGTCGTTCTTTTTGTAATTTCCTTTTCTTTGTTTCGCCACGTCTTAATATGTAAGAATATCAGCCACAACAAAATATAAGTGTGATATTGTATATTGACAGATAATGCAAAACTAGAAAGATTATACTAGACTAAATCCCTCCATTTGGCACTGCTCCTATATAACTGTAAGAGCCAATTAAAGTGGAACGATGGATAACAATAGGCAATCGATAATCTGTCGAATGTTGGTAAACTCACCGTTGATTAGTCTCGCGTATCTCGGATCTGCGGCACTATTAACGAGCGCGAACGCAAGAACGACGATTACCGCCGATGCGATACTACTGCTCATCCTCGTGTAAATATCGCGCGGTTTCGTAGAATCGCCCTTCCACGTGTGTTTGTCGCAACGGAATTTTTGTGCAATGCAGAATCACACGAACGAAATACGGTAAACTGCTGTCTGAACACTCTGTACCACGGTAATGGCATTTATGATAAATTCTCTGTTGATCAGGAGATCCCTCACTCCTTCCTACTCTGGCATTCCGCCGAGGGCTTTATCTTCCTTGGGCTGTCGAGGGGAGCGAAATTAGATAAAGACACGTATGAAAGTTTACGCGCCGATTATCGATCTTTACAAAGTGTACGGTTTATCTCTAAATCTTCGGCGTTAGATTTTCCCATTCATTAAAACGAATATATTTAACGAATATTTACTTAACCAATTTAATAGCAAACAATTTTTTCTTACAATTTTGAGCAATTATTTTAAAGAAGTTCTCCAACTTAAAATAGTGGAGGGGAGTCACGTGACTTATATGCGACTTTTCTTATCATAACAAAGAATATGCAAATTGCCATTGCTAGCTTCTAAAAAATGAATAATAAATAAAATTTAAACAATAAAACTATAATTTTTTCTATTAAAAGTATTTTCTTTATAATATTGAGAAAGAAAATATTGAAGAAAAAAAATTGTCTATAGTAATTATTTAAATTTAATTTAATATTAATAATTCTGCTGGAAACGATATATTGTGATGTTTTCATTAATAATGTGACATCATATTTAAAGAGAATTGATGAACATACTCTTACATGAAATTGATAAGATAAAACTTTATTATTTAATTTCAAAATGTTCTTATAAACCCTATTTTACATCTATATATCAAAGTTTTTATATTTCGTTAACAATTAAATTATTTAAAAAAACCTATACAGTAAAAAAAAATCTGAAAATATTTAGGATTGCTTATAAATATTAATTACAAACCCAGGTAGCTATTGTTTATTTGACATAATTAGTCATTCTTGACGAATTCGACGTCGTAAAAATGACATAGTTTGTCATAGCAATGTAACGTCATATAATAATCATATATTATCAGTACGTTACCGATTAGTCGTTTATTTATAATATTAGTAAGTATAACGTATATTATATTGTAAATATATATGTCGTAGAATGGTTAAAAATAAATGACTTTATTAATTGATCATTAATTAATAAAAAAAAATCACGTTATTATTACTAGAGATGTATCGGATTGTAAAATTGCTGGATACTAAATATTGGATATCCGAAAAATATGTGATATCAAAGATCCAATATCCGGTCAAATATTCGGTAGAAAAATTATTCATCCCCAGATACTGAATATTTTCTATGTGTGGATATCCGATAGAATTTGTCTATTATATTTAAAAAAAGGAAAACAAAGGAAAAATAAAATAATAATTTTCTTTATCTTCGTAATGTGAAAAGAAAAAGAAAAAGACTATGTAAGAAGTTCAGCTAGAAAGAATAGAATTCTATATAAATAACGCGAACTTTCAATACAAAATTTCAAATCGAATAATAATAATACCGGCTATGCAGATAGATATGCTCAATATGGGATACTTCCCGGATATCCGGTATATCATAATTATTACATCTTAAATAGGTAACATCAATAATTTAAAATGTCTGACATCAAAATGACAACAGCTTGTTACCTGGGGGATCCTTATATTATGTGAAAAGACTGGAGAACCTCCTTAAGATCGTAATAAATATAGCTAATGATGTTTATACGGTAATTCAAACATCGATAACTAACATCGTTAATGTGATAAATTTCATTCTTTATCTTTCGATCCATAGCCAGTTCTTTATACAATATATAGCTGGATGTGAACATTAAAACGTGCTTGACAATAATTTATTTGAATGATAATTTTCTCGAGTATACCGGAGTACTTCATTAGTATTTAATATTTTATGCGATATACTGAGTGATTAATTTTAATCATCTTATCAGGCAATTATTTTAAAAAGCATTCTTGAAAATAAATTTTTTATGTAAGCTGTACCGTTGTGATAGAAGAGGGCAAATAATGATAAAATTTTCTGAAAAAATTAATATGATAAAATCACATGAAAAAGAAGGAAAAATTATGTAATTTGCAATATGATAAAATTACATAACACACACACACACACACACTGCAACTATATATTTTACTTACACAAATTATATTCTTTTATTTTATGTATAAAAATATTAAAAGGCGTTTTGTATTTAGATATACTCAAATAAACGGTCTTGTGTCTAACCTTATTATTATTAAGATATGACTATTAAATAATTAAATGTGTGTTCGAGATAATTTATATTTCCTGATGTGCTAAAATAAAATGTGTCTTGTAAAAATTATTGATTTTTTAATAATTCAATTTTATGTGCATAATAATTTGAAGAAATATACTACGTGAAAAAATTATATAATTTCATTTTGAAAACTAAGGATAATCTTTATATGACGATCATAAAAAATCAATTTTTTTGAAAAATTAATTTCATTATTTGTTTAACAATCCTATAGTTTTCATTCGAAAATTTTGTTTCGTAAACGCTTTCTTTCCGAGATTACCTGATAAGATTAAAGTATATCTGTGTATACAACCGCAATTGCATTTAATCGACAGTACGAATGAAGGAGTATGGTGAAGATTCTTTTCAACTCTATCTAAGGCTCTAAGGTAATGATATCGAAAACTTTATAGCGTTTTATTCATATTAATTAGTAGTATATAGTAGAGTTATATTCTTTAAACTTTTCAATCTTGAAATTTATCCCGAAGTTATCGATATACATAGTCGTAAAGATATGATTTCTGATAAGAATATTCTCAAGGATAGTCACACGCTCACACGTTATGAAAAACATATTTATCTATTATATGCCTATTAGATTCTCATGCACAAATTTGCAAATTTACAAATATTTTTTAACAATAGGATTAATGAAATATTTAAATGTTTTTTAGATATAGTTTCTAAAATATTAGTCTTTTTATTGCTTATTATAACATTTACATAATAAATGTAAATACATTAACCTTATCAGAAAAGTTGAATTATTCCTTCATAAATTTGCAATTGAGAAAAGTTTGTACAAATTGATTTGGAAATTTCACATAAACACAGAAAAATTCCCGTTGGTAAAAAAATATTAAATAATTATGAGACAATATGACGTTCTCGTTAGCTAAAAGTATTTACTGTATATTTTACAATAGTAAAATGAACTTTTATGTGGAATAATTGTTATTAAGTATATTTTAATGTACCAACATTATCATTAATATATACTAACATAATCACATAAAATTAAGTCATTATTATCACAAAGTGTATTATTTATTCCGGTTTTTCAGGAAACGAAACTTTCGGCTTACTGGATGATTCCAATTCTGTTTTATTAGCTCTATTAGAACGAAGCACTGCGCCTGGACTGGGATATGGTCTCATTTGATAAAGAGGACCTGAAGCAGTTGTGTCAGCACCAGTTTTAGCTTCATTATGTTTAGCTAATCCGTCTGACCATTTTCCCCTACGATGCAATTATATATAGATAAAAATTTTATGAGATATACACATGTTAATTTTTATACTTTTGTGAATAAGAACACATACCTAGGAATATCACTGTAGGATGCTGGATCCATAGGATCTAAAGTACGATCTTTAGCATCTTTACCATCAGTTCTATCAGATCTATAAATTCTTTTATTATCTGGCCCTTTATATCTTGGACGATTTTCGATCTTTCTATCTTTCTTGACAGGCTCACTTTCTTCTACCTAAATAATCATAATATTAGTTGTAAATCTTGAATGATAACTTGTAAATCTATAATAATTAATCAGAAAAATATAATTACTAACTTCCATTTGTTCTTGATCACTGGTGCTGTCATCACTTGACAAATTATCATCTTGGTCTCCTGCTTTCAAATGCAATTCTTCACGTAATTGAGATGCAGGTTGTGATATTTGACATTTAGGATGCCCAGGTGGTAACCAAGATACTAAATCAGAAGACCAATCCCAATAGTAATGCTGTCCACTATAAATAGACAATAAATTAATAATTTTAATCACAAATATTAGATACGTGTAATATTTCAATCTTATTCCAAAAAATAAATAAAAATTATGTATAAAAAAATATTTAAATAATTACAAAAAACAGAAATCAGCACTATTCTTGGAAAAAATTAATTTATCCACAGAAGACTAAGAAATTATTAGTACTTACGATCCGGGATCATAAACAGTTTTCCAAGTTTCCGGCAATGGATATTTTTGAACTAATCTCATTTGTTGTTTCAAATATTTATCCGAAGGTTGCACATGTCCCATTCCCCATAACTCCTTACATTTTTTTGTACATTCATGATAAATATTGTATTTATTAGGACATCCATTATAACCCTAAATAAAATGTTTTTTTAATAATTTAAATTTACATTTTATTGTGCAAAATAGAAATTAATTTACCATAAATTTTTGAGATATGTCAATCTGGTTAATTTCTTCTTTTGTATTATCATAATCTTCAGCTATTACTTCTTCGTGCACTTTCTTCTTCGCTTCTTTTTTTCCAGATTCTGCAAAATTAATAATATAACCTAATATTAAAAATTCTGTAACGATATAATCTTTAAAGTTCATGCGAATACTTTTTATTAAAAGATAGGAAATTAATTTAATGTACAGAAAATGTACAACAACAATATAGTTATTCAATCATATTTATAAATAAATATACCATGCTTTTCGGATCCAGTGATTAATCCCCTTTTCGCAAGACGTGCAGCTAATGCTGCTGGTAAAGGCATTTTAGATTTCTTCAATTTCAACTTTCAGAAAATTGTTAATTCATTATATAAATAATGTGTAGAACAGTTTATTTCAATAATTTAACTGTATTATTCCACTGACAAGTGTTGTCAAGTGTTTCTTGCGATTGTTTACGATGTTAAACCCTCCCTGAAGTACCGAAAACTATGCACACTCAAGAAAGAAACTTGCACTAACATGAACACTGGCGCCACTGTCTGCTAGCTCAGCTGACTGTAATCAGCAAAAAAAAAAAGCAGTTTAATCGGTGTATTCATGCATCTTCGTTCAGCAGATTCAACAGTCAAATAAATTCTTTTGGATCTGAAATTCAACTGTTGAGTGCTGTTGAGTCCACTGAATGCGTCCTTCATCCTGAGACGCTTTTCAAAACGTGATTACAGTATCCAAAACTCTATATAGTCCACACGTCACGTGAACGATAGAGGTTCGGTTAGTGTAGTTACATTTTAGGAACGCATCCCAGCTGATTCAGCAGTGTCGTGTAAATAGACCAGAAGTGTCCGGCTATCATTTTAATGCAATGTCGATCTAACGAAACTGCAGATTCCGTGACGATAAAACGTAGTCCAGTGTCGACGCCCAGTTTTTACGCGTGAGTGTTTAATTTAAATTCTGTAAATACCTTTAACCGCATTATACTCGTCATTTATTAATTTACGGAGATCCTGGGGAATACGACTTCACGTACGTCGCGTAGTACTCCCACCGTAGTTCTCGCCGGAGAACCGTATTTGACATAATGATCAAAATGGCGACTCTGAAAACAATATTTCTCTAGTGTACTGATGTGCTACTTCACGTGGAGCTCTCCAATTATTTCCCTTGCGTTCGTCACAGTAGATTTTTAAAGTCAACCAAGCGTAGATTACGCTAATCTTCGTATATCTCATAATCGGATACACGAATGAATTTCTCGAATTGGTGGAACAAAACTAATTTGCCGCACTTTGATTCTTTGCCAATTGTAATAAGTGCAACTGCAACTTACGCCAGTATTCTCGTACATAAAAGAGGTTTGCAATGCTATATTGTTGCAATATATAGTTAAGTCTGTTGGACTATTGTTCAAGTTTTTATTGATGTAATTTCTTTTATACTGTGGTGTGAACGTTACCACAGATTTAAAAAAATCCAACTCAATTTTTTCTGATAAAAGAATGTTCTACTACTACTTGATGTTCGACTTTGTTTATATATCTTATTATATTTTCGCATTTTATATTCAATCTAAATATCAATAATACTCAATATGTCTCGAGCGATTATATGCACATTAATGTCATAACATATAAACATAACCATATGTGAATATAAATTTGAATATAACTTTGAAGTATAATGTATTTGTTTCCCCCGATGGAATACAATCGTACTTAATTAATAATTTGATATTGAAACCAAAGAGAAATTAATTAATATATTTTTATTCCATGGAAGAGACAAAGATCGAATTAATAAACTTTTATTATAAATATAATATTCAATTTTTTATTAAGAATTAGCGATACATAAATAAATACATGCATAAATAAGTTGCAGTTAATTCACTAATTACATCATTTGTATAATTGTATATAATTTTAAGAGCTTTCAAAGAACAGTAAAATATATTTTTGTTCTTATTTTCCATAGGTAGCATTTGGTAAAGTTCAAAATGCAAACAATAAAATGTGTAGTAGTTGGAGATGGAGCAGTTGGTAAGACTTGTTTATTAATCTCTTATACCACAAATAAATTTCCATCGGAATATGTTCCGACAGTATTTGACAACTATGCAGTCACTGTCATGATTGGTGGTGAACCATATACATTAGGATTGTTTGATACAGCTGGTAATTATCATTGATATTGATGTACAATTGTTAATGTCAAATTGTTTTAAGTTATATAATACATATAATATATGTAGTGCTACATTAAATTATTAAATAAAGTAGAAAAGATTATGTTAGCAATAATTTACTCAAGTGTTTGAATATTTTTTAGGTCAGGAAGACTATGATCGTTTACGTCCATTAAGTTATCCACAAACTGATGTATTTCTTGTATGTTTCTCAGTTGTGTCACCATCATCATTTGAAAATGTTAAAGAAAAGGTATAATTGAAATTAATCGTTATTATACCAAATGATTTATCCTTACGTATTATATTATCTTTGTGTGTATTTTTATGTAGTGGGTGCCAGAAATAACACATCATTGTCAAAAGACGCCGTTTTTATTGGTCGGTACACAAATTGATTTACGAGATGATGCGGCCACGATTGAAAAACTAGCAAAAAATAAACAAAAGGCTATTTCAAGTGAACAAGGAGAAAAACTTGCTAAGGAATTAAAAGCTGTAAAATATGTTGAATGTAGCGCTCTTACACAGGTATGACAGTAATCTATTTTTTTTTTTCTATTTAGTAATTATATTACACAATTAGATCTGAGATTTGCTTTTTCAATTAGCAATTTTTTTCGCTGCAATTGTCTTTTTTAATATTTCAGAAAGGACTTAAAAATGTCTTCGATGAGGCAATATTAGCGGCTTTAGAGCCTCCAGAACCTATTAGAAGAAGGAGGTGTATTATTTTGTAGAAGGTATACTACTTTTTTGATAAAACTGTTAGTTCTCTACAGTAAGAAGACTGTAAATTTCCTCATATACACTGCATGCAAAAGTTTTACAGTGACAATTGTTAAATTATAAGGCATATATATATATATATGTAATAAGTATTTTATGACATTGGTAACACATATGTGGATATGAAGCAATCTTTATCTATATTGGCATTATATAAATTTTATAATTATAAAATTATAATTATTAAATTATATCTTTGCCCTGTATAATGAATGTTATACCAACATATTTCACATTATTCTGCGCATCTCTTTGTTTACATTATGACGATCAAATGTATAGATTAACTCACGCAGAATGTTAACAAGAGATTTAAGAAAATTTAGGGATATAATATAATATCCTTATAATACTCTCATCGTTAAAAAACAAATAATTTTGCTCAATATAAACTGTTTCATAAAGAAGATTATTGGCCGGTATTCATAGTCAGTTCTTATATTCAATACCGTCTTAAGTTCAATTTTGATGTGTCATGAACCAATCAGACAGCTGCATTAGCATCTTAAGGCATTACTTAAGACGATCTTAAAATAAGAACCGATTATGAATACGGGCCTATATGTTTTGTATGATTTCATGTAAATTATAATATGACGTACACATATATGCATAAGTGTAACACTATTGATGTGTAACACTATTAATTCTGCATTTTCTAACATGTTTCGTACATTAGTTAAAAGTTTTTTTGTTTTTTTTTTTAGTGCTGAAGTTTAAGTTCTATTCTTAATTTACTACATTTTTTAGGTACATTCTTTCTGTGTACCTAATACATATTATACATATACACACAACAAACATGTATGCAAATAATAAGATATTTCAATAGATTTAATTATTTAACAAAAGAATGAATTTTGCGTTGTAATGCATAAAAATAATTGAGGATTACAGTATATCATATATTGTTCTTATGATTTATAAAACACAACAGGAAAAATTTCTTGTTATTGTGGGATTGTGTGTAAAAACATTGCACGCGCGCATATACATTTTTTGTGTGCGTATATACAACTAAATTCTATCATAAGATTTATGAAATTTTCTTGGTGGCCATTATTCGCAAAACAAATAAGTATGTTTACATATTTGACTAGTTCAATGTATTTTTATATTGCGCAATCATATTTTTCTTTAGTCATTTATAGCCCTATACGATTTAATTATATATATTAATAACGTTGTAATAACTTTCAATTTTTCTATGGCTTTTACACATTCATTACATTAAATTTAATAGTTACTAGCTAATATTTTATATGAAAATAGAATGTTCTAAATCTGTTTTATTTTATTCTAATTTTTTATTATTATTATCATTTCTTTGGATGAAACCGTAATGTTATTAAGATAATTTATAGCATATATAAATATATTTTTTTAATAAATTATTATTTGAGAAATGTATATTATATTTTACAATGAAATAGACTGAAGTAAAAAAATTTTTAATTTAGATATTTAATATTATATGCATAATATTAAACTATTAAAAAATAGTAAGTTTGTAATTTTAACTCAAAAATATATAAAAGGTCTTTTTTTATAGACAATAAAATAATCTGGATTTAGTAAAAGTGCTGAATGTCAAAGATTTTGTTAAAAATTTATAATATTTCCCAGATTAACCGTAACGTTATTTCACTCAAATCTGTCCTAAACTTAATCTTTTTTATTATTAATTATATAAGTTTCACACATATCCGAATTCATATATATATAATTTCAGCCTTATATGCGGCCAAAGGATCGAATCGGCTATGCGAAGTACGCGGATTAGAATTATATATACAGATCTCTATCGTATTTGATTGAAATGTTTTGTCTATGTAGACAAATATGAACATTATATATGCAAATATATAGATTCTTATAATTATTATTTCTGTTCGATATTATTATATTTTATTGTAGATATTTGTTTTATTTCTAATAATTGATATTATACTTTTTCTATACTATTATTATCATTTTCTTATATTAGAATTTTATAATTTTTTAACGAAAATCAAATACGTTTACGAGTCTTCATGTTGTGACAAGTTAAGATAATTTCTTCTTAACATTTCGCTACTGTAAAGATATACTTTTAAGAAATCGAACTTTTTGTGAACATGTAGCAAAATTTACGATATGAAAGTATATATTAATAGAATCAGACTAAACTAATATTATATTTGTCATACGACAAATTTTTTTCGCGCCTGTTAATTGGCTATGGCTACAGAATAGAAAGATGCGAGAATCTCTTTGTTCTGCAGCTAATTAAGTCACTTGAAAAATTTGTCGTGGAAAATATAATACAGTCTTATTGAGTAACAGAGATTTCTAGTAGAATTACAATTTGTATCGTGCGTAAAATACAACATAAAATAAAAAATTATTAGTCATACACATAAGGGTAAAAAATTTTATAAAAGCGCTGTAAAATATGCGCGCGTGCATGTATGCGTGTATTATTAGTCAGGAAAGATATTTATATGTTTCTATCATAGCTAAAATGTTCTTTTATATACTGACATTTGAGTCATTCTTGATTCCAGAATTACAAAAATAAAGATGTTTATAATATAATGTATAATTCATCCTGCTTACACTCATCTCCCTGATTATACAACATTTACAAATTAATTCGTAATATTTTTAAGGATAAATTGCGCAATAGGAAATAGAATTCACATAATCGCGTAAAAGTATTTCAGAAAGCGAAAACTCGTACTATAAATCTGTATAAATATAGAAACTCCAAAGTTTTTAATCGATATGTTATAGATAACTCAAATAATAATTATATCGATATAATTTCTACCTAAAAAAAGGTAGAAGAAACCATTTATTAGTTCATTTAGCAGTAAAATTATTGGGATCATTTACTTTTTTTTTAGAGTTTCACTTTCAATCTTTTTATTTATTGTCCAGACATTACATTCTATCATCGACTAAATTTTTGGAGAGCAACTCTTTCTACTTGTAAATATCAGTTACAGTCCAAAAGTTTTGATTCGAATTGAGTTACAAAGTTTCAAGCCAGAAATGTGCGTAGGAGTCACTTGAGACTGAAATGGATTAAATAAATTGCTTTTTAAAATGGATTTAAATCTTTTCCATTTTGCAGTTATAATTGATACAACACGGAACTCAAGTGTGTATATACACGTACATATTTTTTTTTAGTATACTTTATGCAAAGATATTTACACACAAATATTTTCGTTCGTCCTCGTGTACAGAGTGTTTCATTTATTTTTTTAACTTTTCATTCAACGTACACTTGCAACGGTACAATCGTCGCTACAATTTTTATGATCCAGTTTATTTCCAGTGGCTGCAGTATGCGATAGTTATAGCATATCCGGTTTTCGAGTATTTATTATCAAGCACGTGAGTTTGGACTCGATTGAATTTGAACGATCTCGTAGTCCATTACGGTTTCGTATATTGTACTGGTACCGCAGTACGTGTGCCGCACGTACAAGTATAATATTTTTTTTCTACCGAATGATATAATCCAATTGAAGTGACAGCGGTACGTAAACTGAGTTAATTGGAGCGTGCGTACTGGATCCTTTATGTGGAATTCACAAGCTGACACGGATATTCCGCAATTTATCCGTTGCAATTGTTACAGCCGTTTCTCTCATTTGTCCGGCGAAACGCGAGAAAATAATACTTCACTTTTTTTTTTGCAAGCGAGATATACGGGCGATAGAGTATTGGTAAAGTTAACAACGGATAGAAATTCAACGGATACAGGGCGGCAATGTCATTTGAGAAATTCGAGATGTAGAATTATTCATGACTCCTGGCTACTAATGATTGCGAGAAACGTTTCTTGAAATCGACGTGAGAATCACGTTATATAACCGTATTCCGTACTTCGATTATCGACGATTATAGAGCTGTAAGAAGAATAAAACAAAAGGTTACGCATTCAATGGAATGTGCTTGAAACGCAGAAGAACGTATTGAAGTTGGAGAGAGAGGTCTTTTATAGAATCTCTCAGACCTTGTACAGTTTATAAATAATGACGCGATGGAATAATTATACGCACAGGGTTAATTAGAGTAATTGGAGCAAAGGGATAATCGTGACACTGAAATAGAACTATACTTTAAAATATGGTAAAAATTCCACTACGAACTTTACTTATCATGCAAAAAGGTAATTTTTGAAAACCGCATCTTCAGAAGTGCGAAGCCACAATGGGATAAAAAGGTAAAAAAAAAAAAAAGCGGATGAAAGGAATAATTTTCGTTCGAACGATTTCAAAACTGGGTCATTATTACTCCAAGGATTCGATTTACAAATATATTTTAAATTGCTCATGAAATTTGAAGCATGTAATATTTAGGGAGAGAAAAATATACGATACAAAGAAAGACACTTTGATATCGAATATTGTAAAAATTCTACTATAAACTTTATATATCACGCAGAAAAGTAATGTTTCGAAACCGCACTTTTCCAGAAGTGGAGACGGTAGGATCGGATATAATAAAAAGAGATATAAAGAAGGGGATCAAAGGAACGTCTGAATGATTTCAAAACTGGATCATTATTCTACGGATTGGATTTACAAACGTATTTCAAATTGCTCATGAAATTTAAAACATAATATTGGGAAAAAAGAAAAGTACGACGCGAAGGTATTTTGATCTCGACGTACATATATTATTGAGAGATTTGCAATTTTTCAACAATTAATCAAATCTACCAATTGATGAATTCTCAGAATTCAAACAATAAAATTGTAATTACGGGTAATATGAGAACGAATAATTGCGCGATAATCACTGCGCTATAATTAAAAAATATAATAGAAATTGATACGTTAAGTTGTGTATTTTAATTAGATGATTAAATTATGATAGAAGACTATTTTCGCTAAAAGAATCAATATTGGCTTTCATGCTCCTTTTTTTCTAATAATTTTGATTTATTCATAAAACCATATATTTTTTAATTTTAAATTTAAAAAATATAAAGTATATTTAAAATATCACTGTATACGTGACGCAAATTTTGAGTATGAGTGTTTAAACGATTTTTTTGTTTGGTATCTATGATATTCACCGATGGTAGCTGAAAATTAGCCAAAATATTCAAATTTACCTCATATATGTAGTGGTAATATGCTTTATATTTTTAAGAAATAAGAATTAAAGGCCAAACTAATATTTTTCGTAATAAATATAATAAATTTATTTACAAATTTCTATCTTTTTAATAGGTGCCTATTGAGCATCGAAATTAATTGTGATATTATTTCAGTACTGCGTTTTTGTGTATGTCTGATAGAATTTCGGCGCGCAGTTCAAAAATAACTACAAATATGTATATATGTATATATATATATATATATATATAATTCATATTTAATTATTTAAGCAGCAAAGATCCAGCTTTGATCATTATGGGTTTTTAATTCCTACTTTTTTTCGTTGTGTTTTCACGGTCTCATAAGATTCTCGTATTACTAATATTTGTTACATATCAGTAAACAGTAACAATTGTATTCTTTTTAAATCAAAAGATAAAATGTTTGACATTTTTCATTACTATTATATAATAAACAGTCCGTATAAAAAAAAAGAGAAGTCTTCTAGAAAACCCTTCTGAAAGAAAAAAAAAAAAAAAAACCAGATCCACTCGGATCACTGTACCATGTACTCTCGCGGAACACGAAAGACGCTCAGCACGGGAAAGACGCTCGCGAGGGAAATTGGCGGAATGCGAGTCGAGTGGTGCGTCAGTAGCGGCTCTCTCTCTTTCTTTCTCCCAGTCGACGTTCCGACCCATTTTAGAGCTTGTTAATTCGCGACGAGCCAGTTAAAACACGACCGACGTTGCTGGAATGGAAAGTCGTGTTCTCGTCGGTACGATCAGGTACGACCAGCAGGGGCAAACAGCGGCACGACGGCGGCGGCGTCGGCGGCGGCGGCGG